GGGGGGGGGGGGGGGGGATGCGCAATAGAGGAAACATTCATATAACGCAATGTCCACGGATTGAAAAAAAACGCGATACGTATGCGCCGTCATATTTGTTTCTCTACTAAACGTCAAGACAGAAACCCCAAGAAAAGTCTGAGTTCACCCAATGGCGAAACCGTCTCCACTACCATTTACCTGCTGTTCCACCCGTCGATTTCCGTCAGGGTGGCGGGGTGCGCGAGAACGTACGGCCGGCCACAGCCGCTGCCACCGCCGATACGCCCCAATGCTGTCCCTTCTAGCTTCCAGCCTGGAGGGGGAGACGCTACCCTTAGGAGCCCGCTCGAGCGAAACCGCTCTTGTCCTGCTGTATATCATCACGATCCCGACAAATTGACAGGTAGGTGGACCAGCAGAGACAGGAAGAAACAGACAGAAAGTTGTCAAGACAAGCACCAGGACTTTCTCTTATGGCTGGACGTTTTACCCCACAGGGGCACATTTTTCTGGCGCCCGGGGCATTCCGTGATGACGAAGCGGCCTCACCCGATACCGTCCAAAGTTGGCGTACCTTTCCGTGGTACAACACTTTCGGTGAAGATCGTACGCCAACCATAGACAACATCGCGGCACGCCAAACACCTCCAGACTACCATTTTGGGCGATTCGCATGATAGAAATCGGGGGGGCGGGGGGGGGGGCTTACTTGGTTCCCCTTCCCGCGAACGCCTTCGACGTCGAGGTTTCGGCGAGACGGCCACCTCCGTATCGGCGGTGAGTCTCACACAGCCAGCAGCGGGCGCGCCGCCCGGAATCTCGACGGACACGACTTGGAGACTGATGAGCAAAGTGTTATGGACCCAGATGGGCATGACCTGGCCGGTGTAGGCTACGCACACCTGGGATTACAATACACAATTCGCGGCTACCGGTTTATGGTCAAGGGGTGGGGGGTGAGTTGGCATACTGTTGTTGAGTAATACTGTAGTACTTCTTCACCCTGTACAACGATATAGTTGCGAAAACGTCGGATACTTGCCGTATTAGTGAGGAGGTTCGTTCGTCAAATGTCATACGCTCAGTCGAGCAGACCTGCTTCTGATAAAGTGATGGAATCATACCACGAAAGGTTAAGCATACTCTTCCCCCTCCCTCTATTTACCACCACCGGAAAAGATCAACGTTTAATATCGCAACGAGAGAAAGCCCGCTCTGTGCAGCAAGAAATCCACAGACGAGACTCACAGCGCCCTATCGAAAAAGAAAAATCAGTTCCACCCGCCAGTCACAATAACACGCACCTGTGTCAGCATGTGGCCCTCCAAGTGCTCCGCGTTGGCCTCCAGGATTTCCCAGTCGTCGCAAGAGAGCGGCTCAAGGCACACGCGGGAGGCGGTGGGGACGTAGCCCGCCGGCTCCGCTGCTACCGACAGGTAGGCGTCCGAGTCGAGAGCCGCGGCCAGCCCCATGACTTGCGCCAGCGCAAGGGGGACCTCGATAGCGCCGCTGCTCGAGTCGAGCCAAACATACATCCATTGTTTTGTCCCGTGGGTACAGGAGGCGCGGGTTTTGTTGGGATACTCGCGGTGCGGTATGTTTCGACGGTGAACCGCACCGCCCAACATTGTCACATGTTCCAGTTGAAAGAATCCGCACCGCACAGCATACTTTGACAACGTGAGAGAAAAAACGCACCGTTGTTATGGCGTCCTCCTCCGTCGATATGGGGGGATTTGTGTAAGAGGGGGTGGGAGAGTCAAATGCGCTCCAGAGGGTGAGACTGCGACGTCAACCGTTTCCCGAGCCGCACTATTATGGCCGTTCGCAGATGAAATGGCAGGGACCAAACCGGTAGACACAGCGCTCTTGCAGATACCGGTCAGTTTGTGAAAGACATCTGAATAAGCTCCCAGAACAAACGCTCGCAGGACAGCGACCAGACCTTTGTGCATCGCTGATCCCCCCATTCCAAGAAGCGAATGCCCACGATGGGGTGGTCGTAGCCGCCGCCTCTGCCGCTGCTCCATCCCAAGATAACCGCAGGATAACCGCTCCCTTTGTGATCGATTGGCGGAATTAGTTCAAGCGCTACTAGACAGACCGGCCAGGATTACTGCAGCAGATTTCGCCACAGGCAGCATCAGCAGCGCTCGGCGGCAACCGTTGTTTGGTGGGGACGCGCACGCCCGGCCTTAAGCTGAAAGGGCCAAGGTAATCAACCCTGTTGTACATCGGTGGTGGTATGCTACAGGACAGTACATTGTCGTCTGTAAGAGACTTACGCAAACAACACGGCCTGCATCCGGAAAAACTTGAATGATTTGTAGAGCACGAGATGCGTTCAACCTGACCAGGTCGTTGTCGAGAGATCATGTTTTGATCATCCATGGTCGTGCCTCTTGAGGTGCTGATCCACCCACACGTGAAAAGATCGAGAGTCTGGATGTGGGAAACTCTCTCGAAGGTTTCCCAAAGGGTACACTGCTGTATGGGACAAACAAGAAAAGAGACATGACAGGGGCAAACGACTGGGATTTCTTCTCCTAGTCGTTGCTACGCTGCCGTGCACAACAGTAGTTGCAGCAGGTACTGCAGTGCCTTCTGCAATCCTCACCTCCCATGCTCCGTCCAGGCCTCTTGCCACGTGAGCCGGGATGTTGACAAAGCAGTTCTTGGCCTTCACCAGCCGCACCGTTGCACGCACCATCACATGCAGCTTCGACAGTCGGGACACCCTGCCTGTGACCAGCAGTAACCAGTGCTGTGCACTGCTGTGAGCAGTGCGGGCTAGCTCCAAGGGGCCCCGTGACATGCAAAGGGAGTTCCACTTCTCGCGTACTTCAAGTTGGGAAGCCCACCCCGGGACACGTCCAGCAGAGAAACCAAAGAGCGTCGCTGGTGTTTGCAGCACATGAGAGGGAGGGGGAACGCGTCAAATGCGCTGCGTGCTCGTTGGTACTCCGGTGCTACCCACCGGTCGAAAGCATCGCTGCACGCCTCTCGCTGAAGCCAGCAAAGAAGCGAGAACAAGCGGCGCAGTTAAAGCTGCTGCGGCGGAATGCAGTCGCTGTTCGACGTCGTGGTTTGCGAGCCCGTGACGCTGGAAACGGACTCCGACCGCTCCATGTTCGTATCGTGGGTCAGGGGGCTGTCGGTGCACGAGGTGGTGTCGCAACGCCTCGCCGACTTCGAGAAGGAGGTAAGCCAAAAAGTTGGCAACTCTGTCTGCAGCAGCAGGTACTATTCACGCGCAGGTCATGTGTCCGCAATAGTGCTGATTTCGATTCAATGAATAGATACGATATCGCGCGTGAAGTGTTCGATATCGATATCGATAGCGAGCCGCTGGTAGCGAGCGAAGCGAGCCCAAACGCCCCCCCCCGGCTGGTGGGGACGACGTATATACGCCTGCGCTGGCGAGATTCTTGCACTCGCCAGTTCAACAATGTTTGGGTTGTGATTGGAGGTAGACACGAAACCGAAGCCACAGCGGGTTTCCAGCCCTCAGGCAGCACCAAGGCGCTAGGTCTCACTAGGCCCAACGCACCCCTAAACCCTAAACCCGTGTTTTTTCTGTGCCAGTACAGTAGGTGGCCCGATATAGTGGCAACATGAATAGTAAAGTGCCCGATATAGTGGCATGAAAATCTCCTGGCAAAATCTCAACCCGATATAGTGGCAAAGTGCCACTATTGAGGACGGGGCCCTCAATAGTGGCATTTCGGGCATCACACACACCCAATAGTGGCAGTTCCAACTAGTGGGCCCCCACTATACTGCTGTACCACACCTGCCCACACACACTCTCAGTAGTGGGCGCCACACGTATCATGCTAGTCTGCGCGGACCAAGAACTGTGTAAACTCCCAAACCGACCACTGGGAGAGAAAGATGGGCACGAGTGTCGCCTTGGCTGCGGTGGCAGGCTTCATGGGATATGTGGTGAACCAGAGGAGGAGGGCGGCCAAGAAATACACCGCGTCTGCAACCCGTGCATCGCCAAGAAGCAGAAGACACCCGGTTCCTCGAAACAGCCTAAGCGTGCCTCGCCCGAATCCGAACTTGCTGGAGAAGGCGCCGCGGCGAAAAAGACCAAGCCAGCCGGGAAAGCAGCCGGGAAAGCGGGAAAATCGACGCGCACGCGGCTTAACTTCGGCCAGCAGCTTGAGGTTCTCAATCTCTTGGACGAGAAGACGACGTACGCCGAGATTGCCCGCCGCTACAGCATCAGCACCAGCGCGATTAGCTTGATCAAGGGCAAGCGACAGCAGCTGGAGCAGGCAGCAGCAACCAATGCACGCAGTACAACATCCAAGAGCTCGCGAAGGGGAGATTTTCCGGAGGTGCGTTCACTCTGTTTTTTATATTGATCAATTTTATTACAGTACTACTGTATGTGTACATAAAATTGCGCGCGAGGTGTGCTGTGTATGTGTGTCGTTGTTATGTGTTTTTGGGAGGGAAAATTGAAATTAGATCTGTGTTCGAGGAGCGTATTTTTTTTTTGGTGTTGGTCTGTGCAGCGAGCGTGCAACACGTCTGGGGTTGGCATAATTGATGCGCATTTGTACAAACTTGTACGCTTCTACATAATTTCAGCAGTGTAGTTGGAAGTTTGTTGAAAACTTTGTTCAAGAACGGAAATCAAATAAATAACGCTCCCCGAGGCAGGACTCCTTTTTTTACCAACACAGCTGTGTCTTGTTTTGTTTTGTGTCTTGAGGGTCTTGTTCCTCCTGCGACTGTCGTCGTATATATGTAGTTCTTTAACCCGCG